GATACCCCCTTTAACCTCACATATGGTACAGAAGTGGTTATCCCAACAGAAATCAAAGTGCCCACGTTGCAACTTGAGGCTTATGATGAGGAGGCAAATAATGACGAGCTYCGTACCAACCTGGACCTTGTAGATGAGGTATGAGACCTGGCCTACATCCGAACTATGGCATACCAGTAGAAAGTAGTTCGGTACTATAACGCCAGGGTCAAGAAGCGGTAGTTTCATGTCGGCGATGTAGTCCTACGGAAAGTTATGGTGCTTGAGCCTGGCATGGGTAAGTTCAGACTGAACTGGGAAGGTCCGTATCGTATAAGACGGGTGTACAGGGAAGACACGTATGAACTCGAGACTTTGGAAGGGAAGCTAGTACCTCGAGCATGGAACATCGACAACTTAAGAAGATACTATGTATGAATCCACAACTCCAAGTATAAGTCACTCATGAAATCACCAAACTGGTCAAATAGACGACGAACTGGAGAGAGGACCATAATTCACTCCCAGAAGCCTAAGGGCTATGGTGCCGAGTTGATAATAGACCTTGGCACGATAGAAGTCCTAGTTGCCTCTTCGGCGTAGGCAGCTTAAAACCCAGTCACTTTGGCATGAGCAAAGTGACCCAGGTACAGACATGTCGGATGTGTACCCTACAGTGCTTGTTCGCCCTGGCATACAATGGCGGTTAGATTATTCCTACTAGTGTCGAGATTGCCAGTTCGGGAGTAATCTATACTTAGAAAAAAGTTCACTCCTATTTGGTTTAGCTTGCCAGCTCGGGAGTAATCTACACTTAGAAAAACTTGCACACAAAGATTACAAAACACTTGTATTTCATTGATAAAGAACTTTAAGTACAAAAAAAAAAAGAAAAAAAGGAGAAGAAGAGAAAGATTACAATTAACCGAGCTCGGAGGCTCAGAACATTGAGCATTACAAAAGGAGGGGGGTCCACGAAAAGAGGCTTCAATCTGTTTGGGGCTCTTCATCCTTATTAGAGACTTCGGCAGGAGGATCTGTGTCCATACGGTCCTCTGCAGCACTGGTCTCCTCTTCCTCGTCATCATGCAGGTCGTCATCACTCTCTGCTTTGGAGTCTGGATCCTTGGCAGCTTTGATGGCCATCTCCTTGGGTATCTTCGATGTGGTTATGGCACTGAGGTCAAGGTGGGGAAATTCATGCTGGGTTAACCACCTGCTGAGCTTGAACCCCTTGCAGTGACCCGCTGTCCCTGCCTCGACCAACCTTTCCCAAAGCTCCACTGAGGACTTGTACTCCTCAACTGCCTTAATCTTGGGCTCCTCCGTCGCCTGAAGCAGTAGTTTGGTTCGTTCCTTCACGTGGGCCTTGAGGTTCTCGACCTCCCTCTTCAATGCCTTTTCTCGCTCTTCGAGCTCCTTCTTCTCTAACATTAGTAGAGTTAGCAACTCCTTCTTAGCTTGTGCGTCATTCTTCAGTTGGTTGATTTCGTTGCGAGCTAAGTTCAGTTCGGCGTGGGCATTTTGGGAAGATTCCTCATTTTCGAGAGCCCGCTTTAGGCTCACCTCGAACTGATAAGCCAAGGCGTGGATGGAGGAGTTTACCTGCCAAGAGAAGAAAACGAGTATCAGTATACGGAAAATCAAAGTACAATACAATTTGAAAGACAAGTTCAAGAACATACCACCATACAGTGTGTGGCCRCTCGGGCCCTGAGTTGAGCAACTGGCAAGTTGGCCCAACGAGCGACCTCCTCAGTGAACACCACATCCTTGCTCTTGAAAAGGCCAGACTTCAGAGTCAAAATGCTTTGAACTGGAGCATCGCTGCCCGAAGAAGTAGCGGTTATTGGGACGGGCTTTGAAGACATAGCCTCCTCGGGCATGTGGGGTGGGGTGGCCTTGCCCGAGTCCTCCTTGACTAGATTGATTACGGCTTGACAACTGGTGGGTGCTTGGGCTCAGGAACGAAAGCCTCAGTTGTGACTTCCTCGGTTACGAAGTTTTCGAACTTCAGGCCAAGCTCCACCCAATATCGGACCTCCTCCCTTGTCTTCAGGTCCAGTCTAACGCCGGGGTCCTGGATGGCTGCCCTCTAGTGAGTTGGGAAGGGCCACCTCTYGGTGTTGTAGACCACAAAGTAACGCCTCTTACAGGCCGGAACCTTATTAGGGAGCTCGTGCAACAGTTTGTACCCGGGACGAGGAGACAAGTAGTAAGTTCGCCTGTGCTCGGGCAGAATGCAGGAAGAGTTTTTCTTAATGAAAAGGATCGAAGAGAAGACGCCGAGGTCAAGGGGATGGTTGTAATCATGGAAAAGAGAAATGGTCCCTACGATATTACGGATAGAGTTCGGGTGTAGCTGGTCTATGGTAATGCTAAAGAATTTAACGATCTCGACTATAAGAGGGTGAAGTTGAAGACGCAGACTGGCTACGAGCTGCTCCTCGAAGATCATGATCCCAAGAAAAGTTGCCTAAGGGGATGTTGTATACAAGGTTGTTAGGGAGTCTGTATCGGGCTACTAAGGCTAGGAGCCATCATTATCGACGGGCCGAAGTTTTCTGGAAACTGACCTCGGTGTGAGGTGGAAGCTGATTTACCAGAAGCCTCTCGCTCTCACCGAGGTGAGTCCACCTCGAGCGGATTGAGGACCGCGTCTTGTCCTGAAGTGACCACCTCGATAGGACAAGGATCCACGGTCTGAGTCGAGGTACCCACTTCGGCCCCAACGGACTCGCTGCTCCCGTCTAGAAGACTATCTAAGCTAAGGCTAGACATATTAAAGGAATGGACAACGAAATAAAAAAGAAAAAGCAAAGGAAGGTGGACTCACCAAAAGGAAGACCGAAGAAAAGGAGGCGACCTTGGACCCAGAAAAGGCTGATACTGAACTGGAAGACTTGAGCGCAACCTCAAAGATTGTGGATTTGCAGACTTGTGACGAAGAAAATGGGCCCTTTGGCCCCTATTTATAGCCAGTATATCCGGGAATCAACGGTTAAGATCAACACGACCCGACAACTCCTATGAAAACTGGTTGCACACTCCCCGAGGTTGAAATCGATTTAGCGTGTGTTTTGACGTCCGCAGAGTCTATAAACGACTTGACGTCCGCGGAGTCTATAAATGACTTGACGTCCGCGCGTAATGGGTACTCGATCTRGGTTACTTCCTAGTTGAACCGAATGGTCAAACAGGTCCGACCAGCGACTCCCCCTCTACATCACCTAGATTTTGCGCCAAATTCACCTAAGCTCGTCATGAACTCCCCCGCGTTGTGTTAGGACCCCTGCCACGAGGAGTGGGGGGCAATTGATTTGGAGTAATTTGGCACGACTTAGTAAATAAAAGTCACGTGGACACAATCTGCACGTAGGATGACAACTCAACAAGGGGAGCCTAGTCAATGGTATGTGGAGCTCGGCTTAAAGTCACTTTGGCAACAGGTCACCTCGGCATAATACCACCTCGGTGGCTAATCGAGTTCGGGGCCCAGGAACCGAAGTGACACGTAATAAATCCCAGTAGCTTCCCAGCAGACTTCGGATATTGTGGGATCATACTGCATAACGACAAGCCTTATCTTCTTCCCGTTTGAATTGAGCAGCGATAATGAAGTTCATTGACTGATACGTTACTCCCCGACTAAAGCAGGAACAGATCTTGTCCATTCAGGCTGTAGATCTCGAAACTGTTCCGAGAAACCTGTAATAACTCAACTAAATAAAGGCATCAACCCCTCCATGGTCTAGGTATGTGCGATTACTTGCATCCAASCTCTCTAATACTCAGATTCTAGCTCGCAATCACAACACAGTACTGACTTAAGCATCAGAGCGACCTCGCCGGGTTAACTGCCCCAGGTGCTCTAATCCTCTATCTTGCAGCTTGGTCCAGCTCGCTACACGACTAAGGTCAGATCATCCTCTAGCTAGGAGCTTCTAGATCGCACACTATCACTAACTATACCCTACTATTGTTGAAATTTGGAATGTCCTTAAAATTAAATATATTATTGATAATGTTGGGGACAAAAAAATGTCATTAGCAATTTCTTATCCTTTGCCATGACTGTTGAGAAGTCTATCTCATCACAAATTCATGATTACCATATGATTATAAATGATCTTYAAAATGAAGGAATCACACTCCAAGAATAATTTATTACTAGGGCACTCATTGAGAAGCTCTTTGCATTTTGGAGGCACTATAAAAAAGAATTTGAAACAGAGGCAGAAGGAAATGACACTGCAAGAATTGGTAGTTTATATCAGAATTGAAGAAAAGAACTGAGAAAAGGAACGTGCTGATGAACTTAGTGAAATGGCCTTGAAGGAAAATTTGATTGAAGATAAAATAGGTAAAAAGTATGAAAGAACCGAAGGGTAAAATGGAGAGAAAACCACCAAGGCAAGAAGTTCAAGAAAATCTTTAACCCCAACTTCAAGAAGAAAGGTACTTATTACAGATGTAGAAAGCAAGGACATTGGGTACCATAATGCAAACTCAATAAGAAGAACTCGAGCAATGGCAACAATAACAAAAATTTAGTTGATTTGATTAAATCAAATGTCATTACTGCAGTTGTTGTTTTTGAGGTTAATATGGTARCAAATTCTAAGGAATGGATTTGGATACAGGAGCTACAAGACACATTTGCAGGAACAAAAGTTATTTCCAATCCTATACTCCCATTGAGGAAGGTGAGCAGGTATTCTTGGGYGATTCTAGTCCTGCTCCCGTTATTGGCAAAGGAAAGGTTCTCTTAAAACCAATTTCTGGGAAAATTCTACCCTTTCTAATAGGATTGTAAACGGTATCCAATTATCCGATTCTGAATTCGAATTTGATCCTATTAAGCATGATCCGAATTTGATTTATTTATAATTAGATCAAATAGTGAAAATAGTCGAATTTGTAATTTGAATACATCTATTAAATTCATTTTATTCCCTCACATTAAGCTTATACATACACACACCTTTSAAATGATAACTTAGATTTTTTTCTCTTTGCACCCAGAAATAAAACTTTCATTTAGAATCCATCATATGGGAGGGATCCATATTTGATCCAATTATAAAAACGGAATTGAATTTAGATTTGCAGCCCTAATTGGAAGCCTCCATTTAGAACCTCGCGTAGGGCCGAAAAATGGATAAAATTCAATGAATAGTAGCTGATTCAATTTTGATTTATTTATATTGGATTTGAATCAAATTATGATGATTGCAATAAGATATTAATAGTATAAACAAATTTTTATTAGTATAATAATTTGTTTATACCATTTAATAATATATAGTATATAATATATTAATAAAATAAATAATTTTTTTTTCAATTTATTTAACTGTTGTATATATAAGCAATTGTATACATCAAAATTCATATAAAATTAAAATTTTAAGTTTTTTTTTTTAATTTTTTAGATAAATAGGCAAAAATAGCTTTGGCCCGACCCCCAAAATTTTCACCGGAGAGGGTGGCATGGCCTGCAATTTGCGGGGGCCGCTATTTGAGCTTGAAAGTTTTCAAGTTCCAGACTGAACTTGGGCCTAAAAACTAGACATAGGCTTGGGTTAGTTTAAATAAAACCAACCCAAGCCTGCCCAGCCCAATAACCAGTGGTTGCTAGCAAGGTTCAAAAAATTGGCACGTATTGGCTGATACGTATCGTATCGGGARCACCCCAATATGTCCCTACAGAGGATGTATCGGGATTTTGACTGATTCAGGGGGTGGAATAACCTTAAATMGATTTTAAAAAAAATAAAAAAAGTCAAAAAAGCATCGATACACTCCTTTTCGTGTATTGGTGTATTGATTTTTAGAACCTTGGGCTACACGCAGATATAACTCAATATCCAGTAGCCCGAGACTATTTTGTTGAAATGTATTTTGGTGGGAAATGGATCTAGTAATCACAGTAAGCATATTCAATGAACTTTGATAATATTCTGACAACTGTTAAAAAGTGGTTTTGGATGTTTTGGCTGTAGATATTTTAAGAAACAGGTGTGAAAAAGAAAAAAATTTGTAAGTACTATTAAAMGTTCTTACAACATTCTGCCCACCTGATCCGGACTGATTTTGGTGATATCAAACTCACTAGAACTGTGAGCTTTAACCTTTGTTTGAAGCTTTGCAGTGGTATCCTACAAGTTTTCTACAGTATTTTTTTATTATACCCGATTCAATTATGATTCAGTCCGGTTGAAGTGATTAACTTTTTAAAGCAATTGCTTTTTATTTGAAAAAAAAACGAAGAAGCAGACTCGGACAAAGTCCGAATCCAATCCGAGACCCCTAGATTCAATCGCATATCAGGTTGAATTCAGTTTAGATCATGAGCATGTTTGATGCATTTTTGGGAAGATGTTTGGTAGTTTTAACGGTTAAAAGATGTATTAAACTTTTGCATAAAGATTTGAATAACCTGAAGATAGTTTGGAAGATGCATGTCTTTTTGTGCATCTTTCCATATGAGAATAAAACGTAAAAAATTTCATTTTAAGTTTTTCGAAATTAATCCAAAATGAGTTTTTCGTATCTTTACATATTTTAACTTTTAACGATTAAATTTTTCGCGAATCAAACGAAAATAGATCAAAAATCGATCTACCAGCGATAGAGTGTAGACAACAAGGCGGACCCTGAAAAAGTCCGAAAAGGGCTGATACCGGCACTCCTTTGCCGCTTCAGAATTTGTCAGTGTCTTATACACGTCAATACACGCACCACGCCAAACAGTCCGCATCTGCATCTTGCGACATGTTTATAAGATAGTTTTGTTTTGCTCGGTACATGAAGCAACACTCACAGTTGTATTACTTACAGTACTGGACATGGTTCTCAGGATCTCTCTTCCGTTTCTGGCCTTAGCCTTCTTCTTGTCTTCGCCTACCTGAGCCGGAGAGACTGTTGTTTTCAAATATCCGGCGGTGTTCAACTTTGGAGATTCCAACTCCGACACGGGTGGGCTTATTGCAGCAGGGATCGGCGACCGTCTTGAGCCGCCCAACGGACAGACATACTTCCTCAAGCCGTCTGGTCGATTCTGCGATGGCCGTCTCATCATTGATTTCCTAAGTAATTTCTCTCCAACTTTATTGCAGGTTTTGTACTAGTCTAAATTTAGGCATTTATCTTTGTTTCAGCTTTTGCCTTATTTTCTGTTTTCATTGCAGAACTTGCAGCAAGGTAAAACCCAAAGCAAATTGAATCGGAATTTGTGTATTCTTCATTTACACTATAATGCATGTACCATGATTTCCACGTGGCAATTAGATGATGATAATTAATAAGTAATATATGCACACAATTTTTCTACAATCTTTTTATATTTCTACATGTATAAATATAATTTTAGTTTAGTATGGTTAATATATATAATATTAGAGTTGTGCCCAAATGTGTGTTTTTTCACAATTTTTTTTCTTGTTTTTGTCTTTTCTTATTTTTATTATTTATTACCAGAAAGGTTGAACTATTGACCCCAGCTAAATTATTTTTKTCTACTTTAAAATTTGTATTTTGTTTCTATCATCAATAAAATCAATAAAATAATTTTTGTTTCTAATACTTATTGTTTTAATATAATCAATAGAAAATATTAGAGATGTGTCAATTTTATAATTTTTACTTTTTGCAACTCTTTTTTTTTATTTTTATTTTAAAATTTTATTATTTAACTGTGTTGTCGTGTGTTGAGCTATTAATCATCAATAATTTAAAATGGGTATGACATTAAACAGAACAGAATGGTGAAATAGGATTCACGTACTTGGATGATGATGATGGTGATCATCGGTCAGCCTATTTGACTAGAATGATTGAAAAAAAATATGGGTTTTGTATTGTTAAAGAGTATTATGTATAGGTTTAATTAATTAAAATTTAATGGAAAGGTAAGTAATTTAAATATAAAATATAATGAAAGAAAATGGGAATTAATACCTTAAATGTAAAGCCTAATGAAAGAGTTTGATCAGTTGAATAAAGTAAAAAGTGGTACTTCAAATTGCATTCTCTACCCTTACAGTCATGGAATGACCAAATTAACAATAGAGCCATTCTAATCAARAAAAAAATTCCACAAGCTCATTCGCACTATTAATGGTAAGATAGATAGATCTAAGCCAGCACTACATACAAACAAAAGGAGAATTAAGATTTGAGAATGTGATTGTTGTCTTATTTTAAGAGAATATGTTTCATGGAGGAGTTGAGGCTCCATGGCCACAAGGGCTCATACTGGTAATTCCTTTGAATTGCCTTAGGCTGTGTTTGGAACCAATGACGTTTCGAGGAATTATCTATTTGTTTTAGGCAAATGAAATGACTAATACCTTTCACACATTCACTTTTAACTTATGATCATACATGGAAAATCTCCCTACTGTTTCCTCTGCAAAAAACATAACAAGTTAGATCTACCTTATTGTTTTGTATTTTGAATTTTTGATGTAGTGGATGCAATGGGCCAACCGTCTCTAAATGCCTACTTGGACTCTGTTGGAGCACCATCTCTCAGCAGGGGTTGTAATTTTGCAGCTGCAGCCTCTACTATACTCCCACCAACAGTAACAATGACTATCAGTCCATTTTCATTTGGGGTTCAGGTGACTCAATTCCTTCAATTCAAAGCTCGTGTTCTTGACTTGCTGTCTAAAGGTATAATTTGTTTACTTGGTTTTCTTAGTTTTTTTTGGAGTTATCTGGTTGTTGATCACCGGAATTCTGCCTTCAAATTTAAATTGTTATTAATCACTATTGAGTTGCTGTATGCAGAGCAATCTTCTCCTTCAGAAACTCCTTCAGAAAAGGGTTAAATAAGTTTTAATTCAAGACAAAAAAATACATAGAATGATGTGGGTACCAATATAGGTCATAAAATGTGATGTTTCCTAGTTCAAATTAGCAATGTTATGAATCATATTGAGTTTTCTTCAGCTTATGCTTGCTATGGTGAGTGATTCCCATGCCCTATAATGGTTCTAGGCACCCTGTGAGTGATTCCAGGTATTTTCTCTCTTCTTTTTCTCCCTATTTTCTCTCTTATTCCTTTAAGAAGCCATTACAGCCATAAAACTCTGATCAAGAAGACCATTCAACATTCTCTAAGGACTAGAACTGAACTGGTCCTACATCAATGTAGCTCATATCATTTAAATCACAAAGGTTTTATTTTAGCACATAGATAGTAGGTCCCACTCAAAATACACTGGCAATGATGTTGGTCTCATTTTATATTTAAAGCATGTTTTTAAATCATAAATTGAACTTAGCTTAGTTTCTCAAGTCAAAATGTCAAATAAAAAATCCAACTCAAAGGCTTTCCACATAGATAGTGGATCCAAAATAAAACACATATAGTTGCCCTGCGCTGAGGACAAGGTCCTCCTTAGCTGGTGGATATATTAGTCTGGAATGTAGTTAAGAACCCAGAAAAAAGCAATAAACATTTATATCAAATATTGATACTTCTACGCACCAACTTGGTAAAGAATAAAAGAATCCAGCTTCTGAAGAAATTGAGAATGGAATCTCATTCTGTTTCACTCAGTGAAGTAGTGACGCTATCAGACCGAACTGCAAGAGAAAATACACTCCAAATCTACTGAAATATTTGAAGCTTTACAGTAATGAAATATCTGTTCAACACCATGCATCTACTCTTGAATACCTATTGCTCGCACTTCAGTTTTGCTACAATTAGAAAAGCTCATTGACAGACACATTCTTGAATTGATTATAGGCAAGAAACTAAATAAATACCTTCCCCAGAAAAATTATTTCGAGCAGGGGCTTTACACGTTTGACATAGGCCAGAATGATGTTAATAGTGCATTTTACTCTAAGACAGAGGATCAAGTTATTGATTTTATTCCAACCATTTTGTTGGAGTTTGAAGCTGGAATTAAGGTAAGTGAAGTTCTCCTTTCATGTATAAAGCCTTGTCCCTTCTTCCTATCGGTTTTCCCTTTATTTTATATTCAGAAAAAAAAAAGAGTTTAGAACTTTAGATATTAATTACTTCCACATCTCTAATAAATTTTTGCCCCCATCTTTCTCCATTCATATTAGTGTAGTTATATGATCAAGTAATTGAATGCAAAATTTTCCAATGTGTTTCTTACTTTCTGCTCTTCTTTCAGAGGTTATATGACCAAGGGGCAAGGAGGTTTTGGATCCATAATACTGGTCCTCTAAGATGCTTAGTTCGAAATATTGCCATATTTGGAAAAGATCCATCTAAGCTTGATGAGCTAGGATGTGTCAGCTCGCTTAATCGTGCTGCTGATCTTTTTAATTTGCAGCTTCATACTCTCTGTAAAAAATTACAGGGACAGTTTCTAGATGCAAATTTCACTTATGTTGATATTTACTCAATAAAGGCCAACCTTATCGCCAATTATTCTCAATATGGTAAGTAGAGCATCATTTATTATAGCTTGCTTATTCAAACCAATAAATCTGTGTCTCACACCCACACAACATGCACATATTTATGGTTCTTGATTTCTCTGCCTGAATTGTCAAAAGGCTTTTTGATTTGTTTCAGAAATGAGCTTCTTTTTGTATAAGGAGGGTTATCTATTAGCTTGAATGTTGGGTTTGTCTTCACCCTGATTCAGTAAATTAAAGGAGATTCAAATGTTGTGAAGGTCTAGCAGTTTTTTCTTTAACTATTAATACATACAATCTCCTGCTAGGTATTTTGTTTCTTCAAGGAAATTGGGACTTGAGAATTCTCAAGAAAGTATTAACTAATACTGCTAGAAAGCTGAGAACATGAGAACTTTGGTAAAAGGGCCAAAGGATCATGTCTAGAACCCAATTGTTTTTTTTATCGGTAATGTTCAAATTAAAGACCTTTGATCTTGCAAGATTGACAATTTTCAGGGTTTCAACAACCAATAATGGCTTGCTGTGGGTATGGAGGTGCACCATTGAACTATGACAGTCGGATCTCCTGTGGCCAGACGAAGACTTTGAATGGGAGCTTAGTTACAGCCAAAGGTTGCAATGATTCAACTAAATATGTAAACTGGGATGGAATCCACTACACTGAGGCTGCAAATCAATTTGTCTCAACTCAAATACTGACTGGAAAATATTCTGACCCACCTTTCTGAGGGGCCAATTTGCTTCTTGTTCTTTCCATGATCTAATAAATTCTATTTATTTTTTTTTAATTTCTAAGTACTATTATCCATATCTAACAGAAACTTTATCTGCAAATTAGAGCTATAAATCTAGTTGTAGCATCTCATTCTTCGTGATCAGACATAAAATGTCGAAGTTTGGGCTTAGGCCTACTTCCAATTACTTATGGAAGTTTGGTAAAACCACCCAGAAGAGGTTTGACCACATTATGTTGCAAATGAAGGTGCAGAGTGCTACATTCCTACCAATTATTTCCAATTACTTTGCATTTTCGCCCCCGCCCCCCCCCAAAAAAAAAAAGAAAAAGAAAAAAGAAAAAAGATTTTGAATGGAAGTCCAGAGAGCTACATTCCTACCCTTTTCCCATTGATATAACTGTATTTTGAAAGCTGCAACTGATTATTAGATTCATTGATGCCACCGCTGAATTGTTACCTTCCTCTTGATTTTTATTTTCTTTTGCTGCTAATCACTCCAAGCAGATATTATGTTTTATGATTCATTGTCACATATCCCTATATACATTTTAGTTTGTTTGATCATCGTCATCATCCAAGTCTTATCCCAATTATATGGAGTCGACTACATGAATCTAGTTTTTTCATTCCATTCTGTTTAAAGCCATTGGTGTTCTTAAATCACTTCTTACTATTTCAATCCATGTTCATTTTGGTCTACCCTTAGCCTTTCTAACCCCTTCAACTTGGAATATATCACACTTTTTACGGGGTCTATTGGTAATCTTCTATACATGTGACAAAATCATATTAGTCTATTTTCTTTTATTTTAACACTTACTGAAGCTATACTTGTTTTTTTTTTTTTTTTTCAAATGACTTCATTTCTGATGCTATCTTTTCTAATTTGTTTGATAGTTACAAATGAAGTATATGCCCAAAAAAGAAGAGGGTTGCGGAAAGGATGAACATGTGGAGACATTAATTTGCTAAATCCCTAGATTTAGGGGTGTTTAGCAATATGTATCATTTTGTTTTTCCATACAAAAACAACTGAAACATCAACTGAGTGATATAAAGGCCTTTTTTGCATTGTTTTTTCTTGGGGGCCTTTGTAATGGAAAAACGTTAGGCTTTAATAGTGCAATTATATGCTTTTTTGGACATTTCCAAGTCTATTTATGGCCCACTTATCATCTTCATCATTTAAGCCTTGTCCTATGGTCTACATGAATCCTGTTTCGTCATTTTGTTTTATTCATTGTCATATCCATTATTAAAGTATGGGCATTAAAATAATTTCTTATTACTTCCACTCAAGTACTTTTAGGACTGCCTCTAGCTCTTCTCACCTTTCAACTCAGATCACTTCTATTACTATTTATGACCAACTATATACATTAAATAGAATCTGAATGAAACAAAATAATTTTATAGTAATATTTATTTATATAGTTAATGCAAATATTAAAAAAAAAAAAAAAGAACCTAACTGTTCTCATCCCATGCTAACTGGTTTCTCTACATGAGAATTTACACAACCAATAATGTACTCAATAGTGAACCGTCCATGTTTCTCCTGTGTCTCTTGGTTTTAAAGTCGGATTCTCACTCAATAAACACCAAGAAACAACAAGTTTAACTAGCAATGTCTTATACCACATATCCTCGAAAATTTTGAGACTAAAAACTGGTTCACTGATTAAAAAATAAAAAAATACAGATCCAGGCTTGAATTCTTGGGGAAAGAAATAGTTGAATAAGAATAAGCTCGAATTCATGGAGCTAGCTACTTGCAACAATACCATTCTTTAGAAAATTTCAAGAAAAGGAGATTATAAACAACCGTATAGTAGACTGGTTAAACAAGGACACTTCATCCATTTGGAGAGTCAATGCAACACTGYCTGACATRGTTTTTAAAATCGAYCCGGAGACCAAACCAGTCAATGGTCCAGTTACATGACTACTATGCAATGATTTCTTTTTCTTCTTTGTCTGGAAATTATCAAAAGACAAGACTAATAGCAAAATGGTACACTCAAACATATAGTATTTACTATATAGAAACTTTTGTTCCAGTGGCTAAATAAATCCCATTTTCTGATTCTGCTAATTRTTCATAGCTTTTGTATCGATTTGGATGCCAACAACACTTTCTTACATGGATACCTACAAAAAGTATATATATCTGTATCCTCCTGAGTTTATCACATGATAATAAAGGTAAGGTATGTAGACTTAAATCAATCTATGGGCTGGAACTAGGGATGGATGCCAACAGTTTGGGTTCAGCTTGGGTCTGGCCCACCGTGGAACCTACCTGAGGGCACACCAACCCAAACCAATCTAACTAAATGAAATGGGATACCATTCTTGACCTGGCCTGCCCCATGACTAGTACCCCTATGCAATTAGCCCCATACTCATACATGTTTCAATGGTACCATGTCAACGGGTAGATTTGCATATATATAGAATTTACCACTTAACTATTAAGTTTGACTTGATAATCAAATAATCCACATACAATGTCTCTTAAACCTACATATGATGATGAAAAAATAAAATCAGTATCTGATCTTAAATAACCTAAACAAATCATTTTCTAGCAAGGGCCTTATCCCTTGATAAAACCAAATAGAAACAAATAAAAAACAATGTAGAGAACTAGCTCTTAATTGAATTATTTGAATTTCATGAATTGTATAAATCATAAGAATAATCATGAGTCAAACCATAGGATTCAAACACAATATTCAAATCAAAACCCTTGGGATTCATGATTCAAAATTAGGGGTGTCAATATACCGGTTTTGGGTTGGACTCCGTCCAAATCAAAATCAATTTGGATGGATTGAACGGACCAATAAGACATATTGAATTTGAACGGATTGGATGGACCAATATGACATATTGGATTGGACCTGGTCTGTCCATAACGAATTTATATTGGATTATAAACCAATATCTGGTCCATTGATAGAAGATAAGAACATAGGTGTCAATGGACCAGGTTTGAGTTGAAACCAATCTAAATTAACAGGAATTTAAACAGATTGGATAGTCTGTGGACCGGTCCAAAATGATCATCGGACTGGATTGGACCAGGTCCATTTGTAATAGACTCACATTGGACTGGATCGGATTTTAACACCCCTAATTCAAATTATGAATTGTATTGTAAATGGTAAAATTTGGACAACATTGCCCGAAACCCGATTAAGATTGGCCTAAGGTTAGATTAAGAAAGGTTTATCATGTAACCTGATCCATTGACGTCCCTCGATGAAACAATCACCAAGAGGTTGGTTGTAAATGTTTAGTCAAACTGTGAAAAGAGATATATAGGGTATGCTTAAAGTCCTACAGATTATATATATTTAGTTTATGTTAAACTTTAAACACATTGGGTTATGACTATATATTGTATTAATCGTTTATGTGGGACTGTGGATGACATGAGGAATGTTCAATACTATGGTGTTTGGTGTTGCATTCCCATTTCAATGCCACACCAGGGAGTCTCATTTAACTTGAAATGGGAACATATAATCATGCATATAATTTCATGCACAGACAAAATTAGAGAAATTTTTTTACCAGTAATCAGTAAATGACACAACTAGAGAACCATCAAAATGGAAATTCCTCGATCACTGGAGCTTGTAAAAGAAACAAAGTACAATGAGCAACGCAACCACCCAATCTAGGAGTGCAAAGAGTAGAAGACATACAGCATGCATAAAACAGCTTACCCCCAATACAGAAAACCCAGAGGATATCTAAAAAATATTGATCTAATAAAATTCTCCATTCTCAAGTCTGAACACCTCTAGCTGTGATAGTGGATTGCCCAATCATTGGACCCAACAGAACAAGATGTTCACTTTTGATTCAAAAGATTTAACTTCCCCAGTAAAGTGATAAGAGTCAACTGATGTCCACATTATTTATGTGGATATCAAGAGGATCACATCCAAACATTATGTGGACACCATATTCATGTGCCACCATAGAAGAAAAATCAGGTCTTGCATATGCATGAGCATGAAGAGACCAGTTAAAAGGGTCTGCCATCTACCAATAAGGAACCAATTCAACTATAGATTTGTTTGTTCTTAATCGTAGTTATCTTTGAAATAATATAGGCAATTGATTAAACATGGGCCATGTTGCTATCCGATCTGAGGTTTTTCAAACTGAGGACATAGTTAGATAGTTTTGCCAACTAGACGAGGCTGAGGTGGAAAGACGAAGCCGTACACCAAGATCTGCAACTATGAGAAAAATCAGAGGCCCAAGGAGTTGTTCCTTGGGTAGGTACTCCGACACTCAAGTCAGTAGGATAGAGAAGGATGTATCCAAGACTAGCAAGTTGAAATAGTGTTGGTCCGAGCTGAAGAGATAGTGTAAAGAAGTATTCAGAGAGTGCAATTCCAAAAGTCCCTTACCTCGAGCGGGGAATACCTATTTATAGTTGGGTGTCCGTGACCTAGATGGATAGGGCTTATGGGGTTGTCGAGATGAGGGCATTCGCCGAGGTCTTTGGGAGGTTTCCTCTTCCTCGATAGAGTTTGCTTCCTTGTCCATGCAGGATACTCCTTAGTTGTGCTCTTCTGTTACGTGTGGCGTCAACATGGCCCGAGAGGGGGGCAACCACRAAGGTAGCCATGTGGCATCCATGGCTAGCTCAACCATCAGCCGAACACCACTCCCCCAATTCCAAAGTCGAGGAATGTAGTGCTTGACCATAGTTGGGTGTTGAAGAGTTCTACGGTCTTCGACTAAGCAACTTTAGTTTCTTTGAGTTGGTTGTCCCGGGGTAAGACCGGTTTGCTAGGAAGATTAGATGGTTCAACGCTAGTTCAACACGAATGTGAAGTGTAGTGTTAGATTGGCACTATTGATCTAATTTGATCTGGACCGTTGGATGCCTTTATAAATAGGGGGGAGGCGAGCCATTTCACTTTGTCATTTTGGAAGAGTTTGTGCCTTGGAGTTCAGCTAACGTCCCTTGCTTGTTAT